ATAAAACAGCTAGTCATAAAATGTCCATGCAAGATTCCCGACTGACAAAAGTTTTAGTTTAAAACAGACTTCATACAATCAATTATTTTAGGGTTCTTACATTTTTTTTTTAAAAAAAACCCAACTTTTCTGACTTTATACTTCAGCATTTGTTATTCACCGTTACCACTGGGAATTTCCACATTATTAAAAAAAAAAGAGAGAGAGAATTCTGATTTTGCATTTTGGTATTTGAAATAACACTATGACTTTCCACTTCTTGTGGCTCCAGAAACTTCACAGCTCCTATCATCTCAAGCAAGCATAACACATAATGGTTGGGACATTGACTGAGAAAGTTAACCTTTCATGTTTTGTCTGTAAAATTTCTACTTGCAACCAAGAGGGCATATCCCAGGCCTGAATTGTCTTTGCAGCTCCAATAACTTGAGATTCCTTCTTCCCTATACACAGTGTAACATGGCAGTGGTACTAGGAGGTCAGACAGGGAGCGTGTCAATGAACTTCTGAATTACTTTTGCCAATGGCAAAACAATGGCTTTCAATTTAAAGCATGTTCTAAAACGTACAGAAAACTGTTTTGTATTATTTATTACAGATCCCAAAATGCGAATTCCTAACATTGGCAAGATTTAGAATATATTTGACCCTTGAATGTCTTCTTGGCAATGCAAAGTGCATTGGAAAAGCACGTTTTTCATTCACTGCACAAACCAGCAGTATTTTCATTATGAAAAAGAAGACTATATAACCTTCTCACCCACACTTCTTAAAATAATTGTTCTGTGTCTCTCCCCCCCACTTTATATACGTACGCTGCTACGTACGCTGCAGAAGAGGAATTATTTTTAACACAAAATTGGCTTTTTACAATGTGAAAACAATGTTAGGAAATGAAAGACAGCTCGCCATCACTCATCCCTCCAAACTGTAGCTTCATCAATGCTCTTAATCGTTTTTTTCCAAGCATCCAAGTTTTCAGTCAGGTCCGCTCATTCAAAATAAAGGGAGCCTTCTTATTACAGGCTCTCCATATGACATGGATGTTCATTTTTGGAGCAAAGTTATCTGAACAATTCGAGATTGGAAAGGTAAAGTACATTCAAAAATCTATTTTCTGAGGTAGCTAGTCACTGGGTATAAGAAAGAACCTGGGAATTTTAAAGGCGGATGTTTCAACCCAGACCAGTTCCAAAAGACCTCCAAACCTTATGGATTAGAACGGTGTCCCATTTCTTCACCCACAAATGACCAAGTCGCCTTAACTTTTGTGGTCAAGCTGAGATGCTTCCTGAAGGTCGTTTGGCGGACTCGTTTTGTAATGCAACTCCAAATGTTTTTTAAGGGACCACTTGCTGATGTAACTTTTATCGCACACGGCACATTTATACGGCCTCTCCCCGGTGTGGGTTCTCTGGTGGTACCGAAGAATTGTGCTTGTGGTCACCCTTCGGCCACAATAAGAGCAGCAGAATGGCTTTTCCCCTTTGTGGGTCTTCTGATGCTTATCGAGCGTGTACTTTGTCTTCAAGTATTTCCCGCATTCACCACACTGATGGGGCCTCCGATCCGAATGGGTCACCTGATGCTTCTCCAGGTCTTTAGTACTGCGGAAACTCTTCTCACACTTTGGACACGGGTAAGGCCTCTCGGGGAAGTGGACTTTCCCGTGTCTTGTAAGGGAATATTTATCTCTAAAGGACTTCCCACAATTAGGGCAGCTATATTTTTTTTCCTGCGGGACCATCCCTTGTTGGCCAACCCCGGGCAATTTACCTAGGAAGCACCAATCAGCGGGCTCTTTAACGGCATGGTTTCCCACGGGGCCTAAGGAGATGTCCCCATTTTCAGAGGACCCTGGGAGATCTTCCGCCGTTTGGATTCCCTGTCCTGTGTACACCGGGCCGTTGGTCCACGGCTGGGGCTCTCCTTTTATAGGCTTGTCTTGACCTTTAGCCCCCACTCCAACGCTCCTGAAAGTTTGACTGTCCGATGGTTTAATAGCATTTTCCTCTACACGCGTGCTTTGATGATCGGGGAGGAGCGAGCTGCTCGTGTTCTCAGAGCCTTCCGGGGGTTTCCGTTCCTTGTGGACTCCCTGGCCTGGAGTGTGGACCGGATGGGCAAACTGTTTGTCCGCGCCATCATCGCTACCGCTAGCTTGATCTTTGACCGAGTTGTTCCCGGCCTCATTCCCGCCAAGCAAGCTATCCGGCTCCTCTTTCACGTGCATCTCCTGATGCCTCCAAAGGGAGTATTTCGTTCCAAAGGCTTTCCTGCAAGTAGGGCACTGGTAGGACCTGGTCTCGGTGTGGATGCGCTTGTGCCTGCTGAGGGAGTAACTGGTTCGGAAGGCCTTCCAGCAGAAAGAGCACTTATAGATCTGCCCTTCGACGTGGATTTCCCGATGGTGGGTGAGATTGTACCGGTAGGCGAAAGCTTTCCCGCAGATGTTGCAGATGTAGGGCTTGCCTTCCTTGTGCAGCTGCTGATGCCGGCGGAGGGCCGACGGGGTCCTGAAGGCCTTCGTGCAGATGGAGCACTTGTGCTGGTAGAGCTGGTCTTCCAGGTGGATCTCCTGATGGTGGGCGAGGGTGTAGCGGTAGACGAACGCTTTCCCGCAGATGGTGCACTTGTAAGGCTTGCCTTTGATGTGGATTTGGTGGTGTCGACCGAGGGTGCTTTTCGTTTTGAAGGCTTTCCCGCAGAAGGTGCACTTGTGCTGAAGGGTCTGCTCTCTGCTACGGGCTTTCGGGAAGTCCAGGAAGAACCAGCTGTAGGCGGCGTCCTTCCCCTTGCGGCCGTTCCTCCTGTACCGGCATTCCAGGTGGATCCGTTGGTGCCTCCTGAGATTATAATGAGTCGAGTAGTCTCGCCTGCAGCCTCGGCACTGGTAGCGGCTTTTCTTCTCCGGCACGGCCACTGTTTTCCCCCCAAGGCTCTCCCAAGCAGAGTCATTTTGAGAAGAGGGTGACTTTTGGTGGCTTTTCAAGTGGTTCTCAAAACTGTGGCTGTCTCTAAAACTTTCCCCACATTCGGGGCACACCTGAAGCTTCTTTTCCGGGTCTGCCTTGGGCTGAGAGGCCAGCAGCGAACTTTTGCACACGGGTTTCCCACAGTCGAAGCAAGTGTTATCTTTCATTTCCACGTGGGTGATCTGGTTTTTAGTGAGCGGGCCGTCTTCCTTGAGGACTTTTCCTTCGCCGCTCGGTCGCGGCCTCACGCACACACTCTGGTGATTAAGGAAAGCCTTCTCTTGCTTGTAAGACTTCCCACAGTGGCCGCAGGTCAGGGGACGTTCCACCCCACCGTTTCTTCCTTCGTATGCCGCACCGGGAAGAATTTCGGGGCTCAGATAAGACCCTTTGTGTTTGATCGGGGGCGTTTTTTCCTTGCAGCTGTTTTCGCTGCCCAGACTGGGGAACCAGTGGCTCTCGCCGTGGTTCTTTACTTGGTGCTTCACAAGCTCCTTCTCCTTCATAAAGCCTTTTCCACAGACGGGGCACTGGAAGACATGGTCTCCAGAGTGAGTGGTCATAAGATGCTTCACAAGGTGCCTGGTTTCCGCGAAGCTTTCCTCGCAGGCAGGGCATGGATGCTTCTTTTCGCTGCTGTGCATCTGCTGATGCTCCGTCAGAAAAGCTTTCGTGGCAAAGATCTGCCCACACTCACAACATTCCCAGCGTTTCTTTCCCGAACGGGCTCGTTTTTTATGCATACTCTCCTTGTGTAAAACCAGGCTGGTTTTCGCGAGAAAGCACTTGCCGCAGATGGAGCATCTAAAAGGTTTGTCTCCGCTGTGGACTTTGAAATGCCTGAGGAGGGATGATCTCCTGCCAAAGATTTTCCCACAGACGGTGCATTCGTTCTGGCTCTCTTCGGTATCCATTCCTTGCCGGCTATTGCTGCCGCCAGCAAGGCCTTTCTTTTTCCCATCAGCACGGTTAACTCTGGGGCGAGAGTCCTGCAGGCGGCCGTGCTGGATCTTGCAAGCTTTTCCCTGCCGCGGGACACTCTCCCATTGGCCTAGCAAAGCAGCACGAGGTTTCGTAGTCCGCTGGTTCTCCCACGGAACGCTCTCCTCCTCTTCTTTCTCGCTGGCAACGTCATCATCTGCTGGGAGAAAAAACAGAAAAGACGGTTTCGAGACAGGCAGTAGAAATGCCATCTAATCTCCATTTAGGGTGAAGAGTGGAATTACCGTATTTTTCGGACTATAAGATGCACAGGAGTATAAGATGATGATTTTGAAGAGGTAATTTTTATTAAAAAAAA